TGGTCAGTGAAGTAGCTGTGAAGGATTAGGTAGTATGGAGAAGGAAGGATATCCTTGAACAAAAAACAACAAGCTTTGGTGCAAAGCACATTCGAAACTGTAGTTTAGTAACTTAAAGTGTACAACAATATACTTGGTAGGATCGGGGATGTGGTCAAGGACTACGTAAAGCTTGACGCCAATTTGGACCACATCCCCGATCCTATCACATATATTGTTAAATAACGGCTGGTCAGTCACCTTTACATCACTAAAGTGTACAGTCAGAATTCATTTTCGTTAGCATCTTTTCTACATTTTCTTATATTTTCATTTTTACAATGTACACTAATTAAAATATATTTTTCTGCCTTTCTGGGGCACTTTTTATATATTAGTAAAAGTAAAAAAAAAATTAGTATATATAATTTTAAATTTTAAAAATCCTATACAATCCTTAAGTTCGAATATTTATAGCAAAAAAGAGACATTTTTGGGTAAATCAACCTGGAGTAATTTTTGTTTCTGGCTGATTCCGTTGTTCTACTTAAAAATGGACAATCCCACTGGATTTTACGTACTGTTCGTGATATTAACTAACTGTAAGAAAACTGCATATTTCTTTTTTCAGTGTATATCAACAACTTTTGTTTTTACGACATTATGAGTAGGAAAAGTTAGAATAAGAGATTTTGACATAAGCACCCCAAAGGTTTTATTTTTTATTTACCGTTATGATTGATTTGTGGAAGCCATGTTTAAGCTATTATGTGTAGTGTATTATGTTCTAAACATTATAAAAGTTTATGTAAATCTCTTGAGCTATTTTAAAATTAAAACTATATTCGTGTTGTTTTTTGAAATCTATTGCAGTTGGAATGCAAAAATTTTGCCGGAAGATCTATCTCAGACTTTTAGTTAAAAGAAATATTTCAACCCACTTTGCTTAAAACGCAAAAATAATTAATAATCAGGCGCGCATTTTTGTGTCTAACAGACAACCAATTATGATAGCATATAGTCACTTCTACAAAGTATTCGATATTCTAGGGGTGGAATTCTACTCAATTCATTCTCGCTAATAACTTCTACATCACAGATTCACCTCAGAGCTTCTTCCTTTCACGCCAATAAATTTCACTCATTCATTTAACAGAAACAAAACAAAAAACCTATGTGCATTTAACTATTCCTTCTCTGAGGTATGGGAAGTCGGTGCACTCTTCCATGCCCCAAGACTTGCTATATGCCAAAAAATATGCGTCAAGTTTATTTCAGTTCAAGTTTTGTATGACTTATGCGTGGTCTTGCCAGTAAGGCCCATTCCACATTGTCTATGTGTTGCCTTTTTTTAACCTGAGTTTGACCGGAATATTTTATTTCTTCGTGCCAATTGTCATCGGTCAATTGCAGCGAAAAATTAGCGAGATCAATTGCTGCTATTATATCAAACCGTAAATAAATATGTTAATTTTGAAGTAGTTGTCAAGTCTGTTTTTATATTTATTACACTTTCTAAGAAATTACAACGTCAAAATTCCATAAAGTTCAGAAGATAATGTAGACAATGATTATCTCTAACCTCAGTGTGATTTCAATCTTCTCTTCTTATTTAAATCAAGCTTACTTAATCTCCCAAGCACAACTTTTTTTACATAGGTTAATCATTTCATTATGAAACTATGGTAAATTTTATAAAAGTTAAGAAAACATTGATAATATTCTCAACTTTACACATATTAAGTAATAAAAGTTCTCAAAACTGTGCCAAGATGGATTTTTCACCTGCAATTATTTAACACCCGTTTTGACATATAACTGAAGAAATGTCCCGGTGCCTTTTGAGTCTCGTACCCGTGACCTTTCTACGCCTAAAGATGTGATATGAACGACATTAACGACTTGTAATTACCTGACATTTGATGTGGCTATGGTACTTTAATTAGGCCAAGGACAATAGGGGGATAGTGTGTGTGTTATAAATTTTAATGGTACACTTTCACTTAAACCTATATGGACTTGTGTTTCAGGTATCTATTATTTTACAACCATGAAAAGTAAACAAAAATTATATTTTTATTTCTCACATTATAAGTGATTTCATTCTTAACAGTGCAAGGTTAATGATTTTTTAAAAACATTGCAACTGTAATTATGTGGGAAATTTTAGTACATTATATCCTATTGTTCTAGGCATTTTCTTTCTTCCGTGTTCTCTTGGCAAATATTTGAAACTATTTGTAAAGACGTTTCTCACAAATAGATCTGTGTTTAACCTTTTCCCTGAGGGTAAAATAATTTTAGCTATTAGCACTTCCGCAGAGGAAGTAGCTGATTTTCATGAGAAAGTCCTTTTTTCTGTAGAGATTTCCTTCCAGATCACACTCAATTGAGGAAGAGAAGGACAACGCTCCTTTTATTGTTTAAAGTACTGTAGCTAATTATTTTCTAAAGTCAAAATTAGCCTTTATGTCTAAGGCAGTTTATTTAAATTTATATTTATTATTTTTAATTAATAAATTACAACTACCTTCAAATAGATAGCAATACGAAAGGAAATATACAAAATTAAAAACAAATATGGAGAAAATGCTCATTGATAGTACTCCAAATATAGTAAAACGAATTCTGTTGAATTAATACTTGTGTCATTATCAATTTCACTATCATCACCAACACATTCTAGGAGATCTCGCGGCAATCGCCTCAGCTCGCGAACGACACCACCCTCGACGGGTAAACGGATAAGACTGACAAGGGGATGACTAGGTTGGTGTGACACGGATTTGGACCAAATTGTTTTTGGTGATACTACACTCCAAAATAATGGACCCGTATCCGCCACTCTTTGTGAATAGAATCTGGTTTCGCCTCCAAAAAATGTTTTTGAAAGTTGAAATTGTTCGTTTTTAAATATTTTCATTTCGCCGTTCTGATTGCTCCAATCAATGATGTGAATATATAATTTTACAGGATTTTTTATGTAGATTGCAATACAAATAAAGGCCATCTAACTTTATCAATAATCATAACATTTCTAACAATAATTTTTTTTCATGTAAATTAGACCATAAAACTTTTTTTGTGAAACTAATATGAAATTTCGTTTTAGCACCTCTAGAGACCCCTAAATAGAAATCCTTGTCTGAATTTAAATTTATCGATTTTTTTTTTACTTGGGTTGGACCTCATTGTCGTGATTCTAGCGTTATAAAATCATTAAGATACTGACTTTCTTGCCAGAGAAGAATTTTCATATTAAATAAAATTAAAATGTAAAAAAATTATAAATTTAAGGAGTTATACATACAAATATAAAGTTAATTTACCCATTTTAAGTTAGATACCCACTTTCATGGAAATCGGTGTAAATTAATTTTTCAACTGATAATTTTGACGACCATGATGTCATTCGTAGTGGAAGCTCTAACATAATTTTCCACAAAACCATATAAATCGATTTTCTTGGTTGATAATTCGTTTTAAAGAAACAATCAAGCGCATTTTATAACTGTGTTGAACATTAAAATTGAACTATTATTTTCATTTGAAAAAATGAAGTTAATTTCTGACAAATAATTTTTCTATTTTGAGTATTTTCTTATAAAATTTTTCTGTATATTTTTATGGTACATATGTCGTTAAAACGCTATATTCTTCTATTTTCAAATGGTATGCTTGATGTTAAAATCCTTTTAGCCGTTTTTGAATTATAGCCGATTAAATCTGATATTCCGATAATGACTTCTTAAAAAAAAATTTAGACAAAATTTAGGCAAATTTGAACAAAAAAGTGTACTTAGGGGTATCTACAGTTGCTACAACGAAATTTCATATTAGCTTTAAAATAATTTATGACCTAGTTTACTTGAAAAAAAAAATATTTTAAAAATTTTTTGGTTATTGATAAAAGGTTTTCAGTTGAGCTAAAAAAGTCAATGGCACGAGCGGGATTCGAACCCACGATCTTCGGCTTGATACGCCGCTGCTCTACCACTTGAGCTATCGTGACCTCGATCCACTNTCAAGTGGTAGAGCAGCGGCGTATCAAGCCGAAGATCGTGGGTTCGAATCCCGCTCGTGCCATTGACTTTTTTATCTCTACTGAAAACCTTAATTAATTGTAAGATATTAATTTGTCAAGTGGACCACGAAACTAGTGAATGTAATGAGTTATTGATAAACTTTATTTTTATTGCATTCTACATAAAAAATTCTGTAATTAATTGATCAGCAAGTAGAACGGCGAAATAAAAGTATTAAAAAACTTTAAAAAAATATATATATAAAAAAAGGCGAAACCAGTGCTTATTCACAAGAAGTGGCGGATACGTGACCAATATTTTGGAGTAGACTCAACACAAAAAATTTGGTCTACATTCGTGACACACCATCCTGGTTGTCCCCTTGTGACATCTGACTGGTGATATGCTCCTCAACTCTGCACCTGTGTGTATGTACATATATATGTGCGGATCTGAGCTTATATAAATCGAAATCCGAAAAACAAACCTTACTTAGTTGTATTTTCTAGAATTTATTTATTACACAGTCCTTAAGTTCTTGTATATTTTTTTTGTTATATATTTATTTGCTTAACTATTTTCTCCATTCTTCAATCTTTGATTAAACAATAAAATAATACTTTTCACTTCTATTTTCTTTCGGCAAGTGGATCAAATTGATTCTGTCTTATCTAATGTTTACTCAGAATACAACGCCTGGTCATATTTGTACGATCGTGTATTGTCTTTTTCGTACTTATTTCTTTTTTTTAAATCTCATATTATTCAATGTTTACGAATGTATTGAAAAAATATAAAAATATTGTAATGATTCTATAAATATAATTCTATCTACCAATGATCAAAGTATATATTGTAATGTTTTTTTTTGTTTTTTTTTTATCGATAAAGTCTTGATAATTTTTTTATTTTTTTTATGTATGTGTCTTGGAAAAGGTGGTACGAAGGAGGTCTGTCATCATCTGTTTGTTAACATACAATTTTTGTGTTTTACAGTGTTTCGGCCATGTAAGCGGTTGCCACATAAATCCAGCGGTCACCCTCGGTCTTTTCACATGTGGAAGGTGCGGCCTTCTAAAATGCGTTGCTTACATCCCGACCCAGTGTGCAGGAGCTGTGGCCGGGGCTGGTCTTCTTATGGTAAGAAGGATCAACAGTACGTTACATTCCGCTCTGAATCATCTCGGATGGACCCGGAGTCACGCGATATCTCATCGTTCAATTTGAATTTCATGATAAATGGTAAACATCGGAACAATACGACGAGACTAATTCTATTCAAACTGTTTCTTGATTTGAATTGTGACTGAAAGATGGGGGAATTTGTTGCACTAGTTTAATGTAATTATTCAGACAGTAAATAGAGTATATCGATTGTATTTTCTGACATCTAGTCATTCATTCATTCATTTCAAAACTCTACAAATTTAAATATATATTCGTGTTTACAGTAAAGTAATAAGTGGAAATAACTACTACCCGTTTTATCTAGAATGATTGTTTAAACAGCAACGAAAGAAAAGTGACGGGAAAGACTATCTACCTCCTAATAAATCTTAATAAAATAATAATCCTATTTTCCTCTATCTTTCTCTATTTCTCTATGTACTTCTATTTAAAACTAAAAACACATATGGAAGCCAACGGCGTCCTCGATATTACGCCAATGGCTACTCCTAATTCATCCCGTCCACACTAGCCTTGGTGAAGGTGGTCGAGGTACTAGGTTGTCGAAAACGGCCTGTTTTCGTTTAAACTTATTCAGCCAACATTCTCGCTAATAAATACATTCATTCTCTAAAATAAGAGAAAATAATCTACGAAGGGACAAGTATATCAGAACTTACACATTCATCGTTAGTTGGCATCATAAAACTTTTTCCTTATCAACTGTGAGTTCAAGTTAAATGAATCAGGACTGTTATTTAAATTCTTAAGAAATATACCGATCTATAAATTATTATTTTCTTTATTACAAAAAATACGAGAAATGTTATAGTTTAAATTGTAAGATAATCGTGTTTCCTGTGTGCATCTCACTCTCTCTCCCTTTTTATCAGAGTATTGTAAATAAAGCGTTTCAATTCAATTCTCTCTTTCTTTCTTTTTCTCTCTCTTTGTATATATCTATGTAACTCAATTTCTCTCTCGCTTTTTCAATCTACATCGCCCTTTTCTCAATGTCTGTATCTCTCTTTCTGCATCTCTCTAACCCTACACTCACCATGTCACTAGCTTTCTCTCTGATAGGTTAGATTCCGGGATAATCGACAGTTCTCACAATATGCATTTACGGTAATAAATACTATCTATCTATTTCTCCTTTTCTCTCCCTCACTCTCTCTTGGAGTATTATAAATAAAGGGTTTCAATTCAATTCTCTGCCTTCCTTTCTTTCTCTCTCTCTCTCTCTCTCTCTCTCTCTCTCTCTCTCTCTCTGTGTATATAACTATGCAACTCAATTTGTCACTCGCTTTTTTAATCAACCTCCGACTTTCTTTCAATCTCTGTATCTCTCACTCTTTCTCTTTCACCCTCACTCACTCTTTCTCTCTCTCTCTCTCTCTCTCTCTTTCTCTTTCGCTCTTCCCCCACTCCCCATCTCACTACCTTCTCTCTGCTAGGTTAGACTTCGGAACAATCGACATCTCTTAAATATAAATATACGCTATTAAATACCTGCCTATCTACCGCTCCCTCTATCTTAAACTGTCAAATTGCATTTTTGATATGGCGTGAAGCAATGCATATATTACCACAACATGATGTGCGCCAGCCAATGCAACAAATGGATACAAATCTCAACTTTATCTAATCTCCTAGTTACCTACCTACTCAGTTACATTCTCCCTCACTCTTAAATACATTCTTTCCTATTGTCAATCACTCATATAGGGGGGGGGAGTCGATAATGCATATATATTTAATTAATTAACACATTTACACATGTATTTAATTAATTAACTGATGGTCGATGGGGTACTCAAAATTCCACAGTAGGTCCTCTCGCATTACGCATTCACTCTAATAAATACATTCACTCTCAATATACACAAAAGGAAACACAAAGCGAGATATCTAGCAAGTACATACAATAAAAAGCCATGTTTTCTCTAGTAATAGGAACTGGGGACTCAAAGGCTCGTTGTCGTGCTTGAACACAATTCTATGTGATTTTAACAAGATACAAGTTAAGATACAAATTAGATGATGATGAACTTTCAATAATCTCTCATATCTATATTTCCTATTGTAAACCAACTCAAAAATCCTATACTGGAGTTATTATTATTTAATTAAAATGTAATTCAAAAAGCAATTATCTAATGAGTGTCAAACCAAGTTCCCGAAAATATTAATTCTACCACAGAATTTTCCCTTCTCTTAAAGTTTTGTTTCTTTTCTAGTATGTATTGCCGGAAAATCAAGACACGTGGGGTGTCACCAAAGTTGCCGAACTTTTGACGGCCAACCAAGGATTTGCCATCGAAGCCGTGATCACTGGGCTTTTGATCTTAGTCGTATGCGCCGTGACTGACCCGAACAGGTTAATTAATTAAATTACACCGTCTTGAGAAAGTGTTGCTGATTGAGTTCATTTACAGGCTAGACCTATCAAACGCGGCACCTGTTGCTGTTGGATTAACAATCGCAGCTTGTCATTTGTTTGCAGTAAGTACATAATTAATTACTACATTTTACTATGTAATCTACATAAATTTTAAAAATATGTACATACAAGGGAACCTAACCAAAGTTCAGACAGACTCTAAAGCCAAATAAATTCGGTGGGTACTAATTATTTCGGACTTAAAAAATAGCAAATAAAATGAGGCACCCATTCTTAAAAATTAGAGATACTGGCAAGAGAAGGGGATATATGCCCGGAACTTAAACTTGGAATATGGGGTACGGGTCTACCCAGGCATTTAACCCCTCGGGTCTTGGTCGCCCACCCTGCGTAATATAATAGACTTGGAATAAGAACAGACAGACTCCTTTATCGCCGAGTGATCCCACAAAAAACAAAAGAAGGAACAACAAGGCCTGACATAGACTCCTACAGCTCCATCTCAGAATGGGTCCACAAAACACAAAAGAAGGGATAACAAGATCTAATGGGGTAGTTGAACGCTTCCACAGAACCTAAAAAACGTCGTTAACGGCAATCTGAACAACTCACCTCATTGGAGTCTGGCATTGTCAGCCATTCATCTCGGACTGAGTAAGTCAGTGAAAGAAGTCCTCAGTATGGCTCCTTGTGTTTACGGGCAAACATTGCGGCTACCAGACGAGTTCTTTACAAAAACAGTCATAACTCCTCAGTCGGAATTCGTCATCCTACTTCACAATTTCTTTACCACTCATCGGCCAATCCCACCACGAGCGCCCAGCAAAAATAATTGTTTTATGGATAAAGTAAAAAGGACAGGGACACAAGCTTTCCTACGTGTAGATGCTGTTCGACCACCTCTCACTCCACCCTACGAAAGACCCTTCAAGATTTTAAGAAGGTCGGAGAAAACCTTGGAAGTACGAGGAAGAACGGTTACTGTTTCTGGGGATCATATTAAGCTTGCCAAGGACTTCAAGCGTACTCATCCTCTCCTAACAGTGAACCGAATCTGTTTATCTATGTTCGCCAACCATCGAAACAACAGATCCAGCATCTCCGACAACCACCCTCATTGCCAGACTGCAACCAGCAGCCACCACCAACTGGGCCGGACGTATAGTACCCAGTGGCCAGTACTCTCTACACTGGCTAAATTCCTTTCTTGAAAAGGGAGAGAGTATTGTAGCGCCAAATATACAACGCTACCTATCCATTAGACCGAGCAACTATTGTATTTCCTAAGTATCTAATTTTAATAAAACTGTAAAAAAATAATCTGTTAGACAGATTTAGGATGTGCCAGATAATTTTGAGTGATTTAACATTACCTTGTTCCTGTAATTTGATTGCAACTTATTTGTGTAATTAAACCTACAGGCCCACAAAAATAAATAGAAGGGATAACAAGGTCAAAAAAGACTCCTTCATCCGCATCTCAGAATGGTCAATGCATCCACAAAAACAAAAATGGGATAACAAGAACAAACACAGATTCCTTCGTCTCTTAATGGGTCCACAAAAGACAACAAAGTGGATGAATTCCAGACATGACACAGTAAACCCTTAATTAGACTATCACAATAACAGACAAGCACATTAAATAGCAAACTCAGGGAAAAAGAATGATCTACATCTCAAAATTTATGAAAAGGTGGATCAAGTCAATTTAACTGAAATGAGTAACTAGGAAAAGTGCAATAAGCCAAGTGGGTGCAGTGCTTGAGAAATGTCAAACCCTCACTTTCTAGTGCACCCCCTTATCATCAGCGTATGCCATCCATATCTTATACATAATTAATTTTTAAATATGTATTATTTTTTTAAAGGTACCTTATACAGGATCTAGCATGAATCCGGCTAGATCACTTGGTCCTGCTGCTGTTCAGGCTTTCTGGGAAAACCATTGGGTAAATATTTTATATATATATTCTTCTTCTTCTTCTAATTGTACAATGTTGTCATAAAGGTTTACTGGATCGGCCCTCTGGTCGGAGGAGGAGTGGCAGGACTTTTATACCGGTTCCTTTTCAAAGCGCAGAAGGATGAAGAGAACTCGTACGATCTATAAGAAATATAAAAAACATGTCAGACCATCGTTGTTTTCAGTTCAAAAGTTTTCAGTATTTATTTAAACAAGAGAAACAAAGTTTGGACCTATTCAGAAATACCAAAGATTCCAATCCTTTGCAAATATTATTACAAAATATTTTTTAACAATCTGTATCCATCATCAGTCTAATCCATTTTAAAATTAATCTATATGCAAACTATTTTCTTTTTATAAGTATTAATTGTTAATTGATTATTTTATCATTAATTATATGTTAAAACAATTTTATTGTTTACATATATGTAAACCAATATTTTATTTTTATTAATTGTTAATTGATTACTTGTTGATTTAGTAGAGAGATTTGTTTCAGAAAAACGAGTACCAATTAAAAAGTCTTGTTCATAAATGTATGTCACACATTAAATTTAAAATTTTATTTAAATGATTCTTAATTTAGTATTTTATCTTCTGTTTAAATTACTTAAAAGTGATATTTTACAACTAAAACGTATTAACAATTGTATGTAATGCTAATGAAATATATATTTATTTTTATTGTATATAAATTTGTCCAATTGATTAGAATAAAACAAAATATTTACAATTTTGTTATAGGTTTGAGAAAAATTAATTAATTAATTCTATAATGGCAAAAACTAGCACATCTGAAGGCTACATGCTTAAAATGAGAAAGAAAATGGCAAATACTTTATTAATTTTATAAGTTTTTAAGTATTAAATAAATAATTAATTTTATAATGTTTTTTAAACAAAACAAATCTTGACCCAGATAACTCATTGTCTCAAGCCATTTCCAAAATAAATAAACCTAAATGTACTTTTACATCTGGCAGTTATTGCATGTTATTTATGTCAGGCAGAAATCGTGCCTAATGAAAACAGTGAAGAATTTATGTCAGAGATACAGATTTCAATCATTAGCTATTTCTGTCGACACTTCTATACCAATAGATGTAAACTCTAGTTAATTGTAAGTTCAACTTTGTTGGACACCTGTCGCAAAAGTTAGCCATTCGTCGACTTTTCTGCCACTGCAATAAGTGTCGTATAAACATGAGTGATATAAAAGAGTAGTTTAAATCTAAAAAAAAAAAATTAAAATTATTTTTATTTAATATTAGGTACCTACTTACCAGATGCTAATAATCACAAAGTTATAGCAAGTCATTCTATTACTAATAACTTTTCTGAATTTGATATCATCCTTCGATACAAGAGACCAATTTTACAAGCAACCTTTTCAAAATCAATAGGTTTCATTCTTAAAAAATTTTTAAAATTGAACTGTACCCTCAATACTGAACTCAGACATTAATCACCTGTAGGCACTGACATTTTCACATCTCAAAACCCACTCTCAAACCCATCTAGAATAATTTTTTTTTCTTTTCATCTTTAAAAGTAATTACACAGACCGCAATTTATCATTTTGAAGCATTCAACATGTCAAGATAAAATCAACTGTGCATAGAACGAAAGAGATATACAAGTACATAGAACACAAATGAACACAAAAATCTTGTTAGTAAACAGGTTGAATATTTATTCTATAGTCTTGGGTTCGCAACAGCAGAGGTCATATAAACCCTCAGGGTGCAGCTGTTTTTGAAAAAAAGCCCATTTATAAGTATGTCAGGTTCGAATGCAGGGCCGCTGGATTCGAACACGGGACCTTCACCTTACAGTGATGAGTGCCGTGTCAACACCTAAACCATTGCGACCACCGATGCCCCCTATTCCCCTATTCTAAAGTCTTGGTTGAGATAACAAAATGTCACGATAGCTCAAGTGGTAGAACAGCGGCGAATTTAGCAGAAGGTTGAGGGTTCGAATTCCACTTGTAACACTGACTTTTTTATCTCAACCAAGATCTTACATAAAAAGAATAATTAATTGAAAGAAGTAACTTGGTCAATTGACCACTAAAACATAAACGGATTAATATTTAGTAAGTAAAAGAAGTATCAATTTACTAACAACTCCCCTTGGCCACTTCATAAGTCACTGATAATCGACTACTGATTACAAGACATTTAAAAATGGCAAAAAGAGGGGAAATTTGAAAGGTTGTAGGTTGAGATGGAGAGTTGGTGTCTGAGTGGATCGAAGTAACGATAGCTCAAGTGGTTAGAGCAGCGACGCATTTAGCCGAAGGTTGTGGGTTCGAATCCCGCTCGTAACACTGACTTTTTTATCTCAACCAAGACCTTACATAAAAAGAATAATTAATTGAAAGAAGTAATTTGGTCAATTGACCACTATAACATAAATGGATTAATATTTATTCTAAGTTTCGCATTTTGAGAACTGTCGTATACATATACATGATGTACATTTCTAGTAATTTCAAAGCAATTTTTCTGTCAGACATTCAAAATATAATTCGGGACAAAAATATCAGATATAAACGTACCTTAAAATAAAAAGAATTTAAAAAATAACACTAGGCAAAGAGGACAAGATGAAATCAGTTTGATGCACAGTTATAATTTTAAAAACTTACAGACACTCATCACTGATATGAAGTGGTGCCTACTGCCAAAAACATTGACACAACTGCAGATTATTATTTTTTTTTAATTCTAATTTTTATCACTATTGTATGAAAAGTGATAAAAAAATTTAGCCAACATTCCAATATCAAAATTAAATATTGTTTATACAAATTACCTCAAAATATACCTAATAATTATTGCGATTGCCGTAAAGGTCCGTTTTTCCGTTAAAAACTTACCCATAATCCCTTGCGCCCTAACCCTAAACGGGCCGATAAGGGACTGCTTCCCGCGTAAATTGTTCCAGTCGTGACTTGCTCTCATACGGCCGAGAGGGACTTTGCTTCCTTCTTCCACGCTTACGTTTTCTTGCTTCCGTGCGTAAAATCAGAAGTGTTATTGTTTGCTTTAAGACTTAGAAGTTATTTTCAGTGTAATTTAAAATCACGGGAGTGCAATCCGCCGGCTACCGATAAAAAAGGTTCGGACGGAACCTAGCAGGTATCGTGGTAATCTAAGCCATCATATTATCCTTGGTTATGTTGAGGGTTTAGGTGCTGCATTAGCTGGGTCCCGGAAAGAATTTTGACGAGGAGGACTACTCACCCGTTCACTTCAGGTATTGGGGTTTTATTTAATTTTAGTTTATTTAATTATTTTCATTATTGGTTTCTCGACGACACCAGCGCGCTCTATTTAACGGCGCCTACAATTATTTAAATTGGCAGGAATCCGTTACATATTTCTTTTACAACTGCATATAACATGCAAAATTGACATATTCACAAAATACTTACACGTACACACACAATATTCTATGCGCATGTCTACCTATTTTGGCGTGAATCAATACAGACACTAGGGGTGTGAACGATATACAGTCGGACATTGCCACAGGAAGGCCAAGCTGGATAGGTTGCGATTAGATGGTGAACAAAATGGATACGAAGCTTATCCCCACCTAACCTAACCATTCCTATCCATCTGTCGAGTCTCATTCACTAGAGACTAGTGACTAGACTCAATTGCGAGTGTTGGGAGAGAAGGTTAAGTTGTATAGGCTGTGAATGGATAGTTTCCAATGAAAAGTTAAAATATGCAACAAGTAGATACAAAGCATAACCCTGACTAACCTAACCCAACCTAGCCTAGCTTCTTTCCATAGACTCAGCCTCCTTGCACGGGTTGGAAGGAAAGTCAAGCTAGGTAGGTCGCGAATTGATGGTTAACAAAATAGATACAAAGCTTATTCTTCCCTTCCTAACTTAACTGTTCCTATCCACCTGTCGAGTCGCACTCACATCTAGCCTCAGTTGAAATGGTTAGGAGGAAAGACTAATACAAACCCGTAGGCAAAGTTCTGCAATTGTCTATAGACAAATCAGGCAAAAATCAATTGTTCTGCAACTACCTGTAGACAAAAATCACAAGTATAGGTCTCCCAGCTCCGATGAAAAACTTTAGAGAGGCTGAAATATTTGCTCTGGATCTTATTTCTTGCTTGTATATTTTTTTTCCATAAATAGCAAATTTTTAAAATTTTGGGTACAAAACTTGAATCAACACAATTTTAGCAATCTCGTAAACAGTCTTATGAGTACAGGCAAAGTTGCTATGAGCCCTGTTTTCATTACATACATAGAATAGAATATTGTGTGAGCAAAAATAATAAGGATGAAACTCTTTCACCTTTTATTTTGGTTGTTGTTGAATTCATCATGGAATGGAGTATTTATTTAATCTCACAACCTCTTTCTTAATTTTTCTTTTTATTGCCTATACTATTTATTTCAGGCCCAATGCTGGTAACCCTTTTCATAGCTTGTTGGAGCTTGGAATATGCTATAGACAAGTTACATTGTAAGTTCCAAGCTCCAGCATGCTTTGGAAATGGGTACCAGCATTGAACCATAAATATATAGAATAATGAAAGAGTTTGTGAAGTTCAGGAAATACCCCCATTGCATGATGAAAAAGAGCAAACTTAAATATGATTGTCAAATTGTGGGGAAGAAATATACAGGATGGCTACTTGTTTCTTTCAGGAAATAAAATAATCCAAAAACTAATTATGTAGGAGTAACATAACTTTGGAACTCTTAAGAGGGTGAGTCTCATAAAAGTTGTGAAGTCTAAGTGTACACAGTCAATGAACATCCTAAAAACAATATATTGTATTGCATGGAGTGAAGATCAAGTCTCTTAACTGGTTTTAAAAAACTTTAAAAAAGTTTGGTTCCTTTTAATGGGTGGAATGTACATCTGCCATAGTATACATATATGTATATAATATCACATCCCCTCCCTAATTTTACTAAAAGGTCTTGGTTACTTCCAACTCTTAACGTGTGATTAGATCTTATAAAGTTCCCAAGAAATCCTTACACTCATATCTACACAATGAGCTAAAATAGATACCCAGTGAGGGCCAGAATACTTGCATACTTTCTGATTCTTCTGATGGCTCAGATGCAATATTTGTGATCAATCATACCTTTCTCTTTACATTGCTAAGGCCCTATACCTTCAATTTAGACAATAAATTTTGTTTGGTAAACAATCTGTAAATTAAAGAAGATATAAATTGTGGGATTGAGTGTTCCAATGATGGTCAAATAAAGTTTTACTGTATCAATAAAAAAACTTAATTAGCAGAGTTGAAATTAAAAAGGATTTAATTTACACAGTTCACTCTGTATAGTGAGGATATAAATCCTTATGTAAATTCACGTTTAATGGTCTTTGTGCAGGAATGTGTTTAATTACTTTACTGATTTATATAAACTCAAATCTGTACATGGAAGTACATGCATACGCACATGTACAGAGTTGAGCCTACTACTTCTTGCGGTCCTCTGGCAATTCCAACTTTTGTGGTTTACAATAAATTACCGGCAGGCCTCGAGAATCATTCACCTCAGGTATTGGCAGCCCAGGTTCGACTGGCTTATTCATCCACCTGCTGAGGTCGGACTCCAGGGGCTGGATCATTTCTGCCCCAACGTAATCAGTATTCTATTCAAACTCTCACTCACTCTTAAATACATTCT